CTTTGGGTCTGTGTGGGGGAAGTCATTCAGGCCCCCGTCGCCCTCTGTACCTATGTGCCATAGCCTTTCGCAGCCCATAGTTGCCTCTTTATTCATTCCTCAAGGCTCCACAAGGCTCTGAATCCCTAAGTGCTTATTTTCTAGTCCCCAGGGCCTAATAAATTACATGGTATATGACAGCTATTCTATAAATGAGTCAAACTACAAAGCTGTCTGTGTAGGCCAGCTAAAGTAGTTCAGAGCCTTACAGTAATTTACTAAGGCACAGTATGTTACCAAAATACTTATCTATTTACCCAAAACATTTTTTTCTCCAAATACAACATCTTAGTGAGAATATAATTATTACAGCCAAAAGCTGCAGCAGTGTACAGAATGATGTAATCTCCATCAACCCCTTATTCCTTCTTCAAATAAAATCTTGAAGCTTACTTCTCAATCCTCCTTTACTGAGAAATTTATCCCATGGTGCTGAAGAAAATCAAGTACATTGAAAATAAGAATAATCCAGAAAACTGGATCAAAGGTTTTGGAGGGTTTTTCCAGGTAAAACATGAATTTTTCATAGCATTGCTATTCCCGTAGCACTTGCTGTATTGATGTACATTAACCACTTGTTTAAAGGCTCTTATAAAAGTTTTTTTTTTTCTATATGGCTACCTCTTTCTCACTCTGTTTCACCCAGTTTTTTAAAGGAGGTTACACTGTGCCGACTGGATTTTTCTACCGCTTCCAGGGCCAAGGTGCTTATCCTTTCAGCTGCTGGGGATGTTGGCAGTTGATGACTCACAGCTGAATCCTCCCTTCTACACCCCCAACTGAAGGGAGCGGAAGCTGCAACAGCACATCCCCTTCGGGGAAGCAGTCCACATCCAATGACTCGTCAATGCAGAGGACTGCGAGGAGGGAGTGCAAAACATACAGGGGAGGGCTCAAAGGCCCTCTTGCTCCAGTTTGGAATGACCATGCAGGAACATTCCAGCTCCAAGAATCCCCATGGGATCAGCTGAGCCACTGTTGCGATGGCATTACAGCCCAGTCCCCCACCCCAACTTAATCCAATTTCCTTTATTTCCATTTAAGGGTTGATTTGAGGAGCACTCCTCCATAACCTACTGGGTGCTCATCTTCATCTCACAGTCTGCTTCCCAGGCAACCTGACTGTGAGAGCTGTCAAGAAGGATCCCATATTGATAAACTGATATGAATTCTTCCATGACTGTTTAATCACAGGCAAACATATATGGGCATATACATGTGCACATGTATTATGAATACATATGATTTTTCTGTTTTTAAAATGGATTCTAATTATATTTTCTTTAATTTTGTTCCATTTTATAATACATATTATAAATTCTTCTATGTAATTTGTATAACTTCATAGCTTTAGTTTATTCTTTTAACCCCTAATTAATATTACATGATGCAGACACATCAAAATGTATTTACTCACTCGTCTTCTGAAGGTCATTCGCTTGTTTGTATTTTGGCTTCCATGAACAATGCTGGATGAAAATATACAAACAGTCCCCAAAATACTCCTTTTAACAACTCATGGTGTGGTAGAAATAAAAATAAAATAAAAGGAAATATACATTTTTAAAAGCATGTTTCTACTTTCTTTTACTTTATTTTTTTCTTGCCTTTTTTTTACTGTTGTTCAAGTAGACTTGTCTCCGTTGTCCTCCCAGCACTGCCTCCATCCCAGCCATTCCCACCTCCCTCCTCGGTCTTGCTCGGTTTACCTTTCTTTTAAGTTAGTGTCAAAATGGAGTTACAAGTTACTAGTCTACTTAATTTTTTGTAAAGCAAAATTTTAAGTCCAGACTTTCTTAAAAGAACTTATACGACTCCACTCTAAGAAGACACCGAACCCAATTAAAAAATGGGAAAAGGACTTGAACAGACACTTCTCCATGGAGGACATACAGAATATCCAGAGACACATGAAGAGATGCTCAATATCGCTATCCATAAGAGAGATGCAAATTAAAACCACAATGAGATACCACTTTACACAGGTCAGGAAGGCTATCATAAACAAAGCAAAAAACAACAAATGTTGGAGAGGGTGTGGGGAAAAGGAGTCCTTAGTTCACTGTTGGTGGGATTGCAGACTGGTACAACCATTATGGAAAACAGTATGGAATTTTCTCAGAAAAATAAAAATCGACCTGCCTTTTGACCCAGCAATTTCACTGCTAGGATTATATCCTAAGAATCCTAAAACATCAATTTCAAAGAACCTATGCACCACAATGTTCATAGCAGCACAATTTACAATAGCCAAGAGTTGGAAGCAACCTAGGTGCCCGTCAGTAAATGAATGGATCAAAAAATTGTTGTACATATACACAATGGAATTCTATGCAGCAGAGAGAAAGAAGGAGCTCCTACCCTTTGCAACAACATGGATGGAACTGGAAAGCATTATGCTGAGTGAAATAGGCCAGGTGTTGAAAGACAAATACCATATGATCTCACCTTTAACAGGAAGCTAAACAACAAAACAAACAAGCAAGCAGAATAAAAACAAAGACACTGAAATAGAGAACAAGGGGACAGTGACCAGAGGGGAGAGGGAAGGGAATTTAAGGGGGAAAAAGGGGAGGGATTTGGAGGAACAAGTATGAAGGACACAGGGATGAGGACTGGGGGGGCTGGAAATGGGAGGGAGGTGGGGAGCATGGGGTGGGGGGGGCTGGGATGGGAGAAATAGACAAAAAACTGTACTTGAAAAATAACTAAATAAAATTATTGAGGGGGAAAAAAAAGCAATAGAATGTACCCAGCCTCTTTCCCCCCAAGATTTGGTAGAAGAAAGTCTCAACATTTATTCAAAAGTCAGAAACTGATGTGGAAAGGAAGCCAGTTTTCTCAGGATCCTGAGACTAAGTGTTGGTTTTTGAACTCAGAAAACAATGGTGTCCATTTAGAATTGACATACAATGTAGCATTTTTAAATGCACTCAAGTGCGAGATTAACTAGATGTTACCAACTCTGATTTTAAAAGCAAACCATTATGATAATTAAAAAAAATACTAAATCTTAAATTCTTAAGTGTATCTCTGATGACATAAAATAAAATGTACAATCACGCACAGTTCAGCTATCATGTCATTTGAAAATCTATTCTAATTTGCAAGGCAAACACTTTTCCTCTTTGTTTTAGCTAAATTAGAAGTTAATGAACTGAGTGTTCTAGTGTAGCATTAACATAAATAAACACAAATCCATGACAAAGTGAGTTAATCAAATTGAGTTGAACAATACATTTTCCCAAGTATATTATACACAAAATCACAGGCTGGGGAGTAATTGTTTTTATGCATGGGCACTTGGTGTTTTCAACTTAAAAGTATTTTTGCAAAGTTAAATAATTCTTCTTTTTTTTTTTTTAGTAATCTCAACCTATTGGTTGCTAATGTTAGGACACCATCTTGTGGATAAGTCATCTAATTTGAAAACCTTTTTGAAATCACATAGCAAAAGATAAAAAATGTTTTAAGTATCACAGAAATTAATATCTTCATGTTTATGTTTTTTAACATTTCTACTTGTGGGTAAGTAAGGCTAAGGAAAGTACTCAATAATTTTTATCAAAAGAGCCTTTTTCCCATTGTGTATTAGTTACAAAGCAAATGTTAAATTCCATAATAGTTATCTGTTAGAAAAGCTTTTTAATAATTTTTTACAAAGAATGAACGAAATCCATATTAATAAAGGTAACCCGCCATTTACCACTACAATACAGTGCCAAGTAACTTTTTGGATGTAGGTTCATTGCCCAAGTGTCGTTCCTGGGTTTCACATGATCAATATCCATAAGAATATTTTAGGCATATGAGAATTTCAAATATCGTATTTATTTTCTCTTTAAAAAGTATTAATATCTCCATTAGCCTACCTATACATCTGAAATAAAAAAGGCTTTGATACTTTAAAATAAGAAAATACTATACAACTGGGCTTTGTAACAAAGGAGGTGACTGGAGCACTGCCTACACACGTGGTAGAAGGCTAAACTTTGCTCCTGCCTCTGGGGCCAATCAGGCATCCATTCTGGACAAATCAATCCACTTGTCATGCCTTATTTATTATAGCTTTGAAAAGAAATAATGGCAGGTTATCCAGAGAATTTTTGCAAAGATACATGTAGTATGGGTAAAATTTCTGCTGCTACTATGACATAGGACATGAGAAGAGAAATGAATCTGATTTTATTCAAGATCCTAATTCTAATTGTTTCAGATTCTAGTTCTGAAACAACTGTTTTTTTTTATTTAAAAAATTTTACCGATCACCCTTATATCCTTCCAACACATTTTTCTTTTAGTAAGCTATTTTAATCTTTGTTTTGTTGCTTGCAATAAAGCATGATGGCTAACACACCGTGTAACTCTGGGTAAGTTATTACACCCACTCAGTGGGAGGAGGGGTTAAAAGTACAGGCTTTGACCAAACAGATCTGAGTTTGTCATCTTCACTTACGAGCTGTGTTACTTGGGACAGTTATCGAGCTTCCTCTACCTTGGCTTTCTCATTTTCCTCACTGAGTTCTGAAGAGTGCTAAATTAACTTGCATAAAGCATTTATTACAGTGACTGGTTTATGTCAAATGGGGTGGGACAAAAAAATGGTAGTTTATCATAATTATTATAAGTAGCTGTAATTTAATTTGTCCTCCTCCCAAACTTGAAAATGAACCAGAGTGTGAAATAATCATCACTCATAACATTTGTAAAAGAAATAATGCTGTTTTGCACTGTTGCCCACAAAATACCCCATTAGAAGAAGACTTAAGCGGTACTTTGATGAAGTCTGATTCGATGTCCTTTAAATGACTGAAGCTTTAAAACAAGTTGTAATTTCCCAACTGCACCATAGTACACAGGAAACAATACGTTCAACTCATCAAAAGATTTAAATCTTCACAGACCATTAGTCTATGATGAAAATAATTTGTGAGAATCTTTGACTTACAAAGGTGACTTACCTTTCCTGTAATGGATTTGAGGCTGTTGTGGTTAATGTGGTAAGTCAAGGTTAAGCAGACTGATCAAATAGCTTCATCCCAGATGTCTTGGTAAAGCACCTAGAGAAATATAAAAAATCGCTCTCAGTCTTTTTCTTTGTACTACATAATCCTTTAAAAAGAAAAGTATGCCAATTAGTTATCTTAGAAATGTGATAGTTTATAGTTTTCAACCATATGTAAGACCATAGATTAATTGAACTCAAAATTTAGTTAACTAAACCAAAGCATTTCACAGGGGACAAAAAAAGTCTCACAAAATAAGTCAACCTGCCTCTTCCCCCATCACCTTTTTTTCCTTCATAATTCAAATCCTAAATTCCCTTTAGTGGCCAGCTCAATTCTTAACATTTCCCTGAATTCTTCCTTATTCATCACAATTACAAACGACCGTACTAGGCCATTTTAAACTTGATTGTGTCCCTCCTCATCTGCAATTCAGAGACAAATCAAAATAGCCCAAGCAAGCTAAAAACCTAGATTCCCAAATCCAAAGTCTTGAAATATAAATTTAATATTTAACTCAGAGGGAGGAAACTTGTTTTTTTAATGCTCATAAAAGTATAAACCTCTTTTTTGATATTCACACTAGAGGATTTATTACATGCCTAATATTTGAACTCATGTATATTGTCTTTATTTCATATTTTTCTCATCAATTATAACTGGATCGCATTTATGCATACTCAAAAAAGGCAATTCAACTTTTCAGAGATATATACGGGATGTGTATAGCCCAGATATTTTTCCAAAATTTGTGTAATATTTTCCTGACTTTTATATCAACAAAACATTTCAAACTATTGTTTTTGTCCTTGCCAGAGTTTTCTTATGCAATTTTCTGAACAGGCAGTCTCTCAAGAGGCAATTAAAGGACTTAAACTTCAGATAAAATACTCTTTTCTGCTAGACTGCATTCTTTCATTCATCATTCATTTTCAGAATTTCAGTTTCCATGGCTGGCTGTCGATTTTACGTGATTGCCAACTGATTGCACAGGGCTGACAGTGCAACCTGTATGTCCTCTGCACTGTATGCAACACCTGCTTAGATGAATATGAGTAGTGGTTAAAAGTGGTTTTTATTTTGAAATTTTTAGCTGTGGAGGTTGAATATGTCATTAGAAAGAGTTGTGTATGGAGTCACATGTGGTAATCCAAGGTCTCTTATCAATTGGCTGTTTGGATATCCACCCCTTAGTCTAATTCTTCTAAAAATCCTACCTCCTGCTACACCTTGTAAACTGATCCAGGCCAGGGACTTTGAAGTTCTCAAAACAGTGGGTGGAGTGAAGTGGTAACTGGTTCTAGATCATCTCTGTGTACCACATACTCTGTGGTACTGAAAAAATCCTCTAGGAATAGTTATTTGAAAAATCCATGATACATCCTGTTGCATATCATCCCCACCCTTAAAAATCATGAACCTAGCAGGTTAGTGTAATGTTAAGCTATAATAGGCACTTAATATGTATTTGTGGATTTCAAAAAGATTTTCCATGAATCTGTTTTATTGCCTTCATGATAATCTAGATTTCTTTCTTCCTGAGATAAAACATCTTCATATTATACCTCTTGGCAAAAGAGTCGTGTGCTTCAGAAGGACATATTTTGAGGTACTTTCTAATATATATCTTTCAATAATTTTAAACATGAGCATGTTTTTGCTGCTTGGTTATGCTAATATTTTTTAAATTAAACTTTATACTCACACTGTGCACTTAATAACTTTTTTATTGAAATCAATAGTGCATTCTATCATGAGCTGATTCACTGGCAGCAAAGATATGAGAGAAATATTCCGCATATTACAGTACTGCTTCCAATTGAATCCAAATTGATCCAGTGTGTTTATATATTAAGAATTCTTCATTGGAAGCAATGGAGCTGAGCCTGGATTAAGAATGCTCCATTGGTTTCTAGGAAGCGCAGTCATAAAACTTATTGCATTTAGTGTCCAGGGCCTCTTTCACTTCCCACCTCCCAACAACATGTGCGCTGACTTTTGACCCAAGACAATTCCATATCATTTCTTGTTCTCAAGGAAGGTTTTGTAAATATATTGCTCAGGAAGCTGAAGTCTGATCAAGGGCACCAGATGTTATTGCTATAAACAGTGGTTAAGATAGTATAAATAAATTAAAAGTGTCTTGTTGTTTACCTTTTTTAATCAAAGTTCTTGTAAACTGACGATTCCACCGTTACACCTGTGTGTGACAGTCCAGAGGCTGTGATGGTATTTCAGGACTGTCATTAGAGAAAAAAAGAGAACTCTGAGTTGCTTTTCTCTGGTCCTGGTTGTGAGTTAGGCTGAGTTGTTCGCCCGCCTGGTACTCATTCTCCACTGTGACAGGGAGCGCACCTTACAGCCAGGAAAGTGGCTGGGAGGACGTATGTAACCGGAAAATGATCAAAGGAGAAAGTTCTTTGTAAAAATGCCGGTTTCACATAATGCTAAATCAGTTATTTTGATTTAATTAGCAAAACATTTGAACTAAATTAAGAGACAGAGTTGGGTATCATTTACTCAGTTAAGCGCGCTCCTGTGTGTAGCAGGATGCTCATCACAGGAGAAAGAACAGTTAAACAGTGTACCAAGGAGTCACAGAATCATTTTAAAAGGCTCAGTCACAGGACTATTTTAATAGAAAATACCTTTAAAAGGCTTCTTGTACTTGTATGCTAACCACTCATCTTTTGTTCAAGCAAAAACTAAGAATAAATAAATTCATGGCTGATCAGTTCAAGAACTGCTTTCGGACAGGTTAGAAATCTCCTTTTAAGTGAAAACTGCATACATTTAAAATGTTATAGTGTTATTAAGCAAAAATCTTGAAAATATGTATTGATTTTTAAAGTCAACAGTAAGAAATATAAAATCTTATTAATTAAATAATTCATGGAGCCCTGGCTGGTGTAGCTCAGTGGATTGAGCGCGGGCCTGGGAACCAAGCAACCATAGTTCGATTCCCAGTCAGGGCACATGCCTGGGTTGCAGGCCAGTTCCCAGTAGGGGACACACAAGAGGCAACCATACATTGATATTTCTCTCCCTCTCTCCTTCCTTTCCCCTCTAAAGATAAATAAATAAAATCTTTTAAATAATTCGTGGGTTACAAAATATTTTAAACTATAATAGGCACATATATATATATAATTTATATTAAAATTACTTTTTAAATTTTTTTGGCTTCAGTAAACATTACCAGAATTAGTTATAATTAATCTTAATCCAATCTAAATTTAGAGGCTCAGGAAATCTTGATACTGTGTTTAACATATTAAGATTTTAAAGGCCTGATTGCAAATATAAATATAGTTTGTAACTATAGATATATATTACATCTTGTTATTCCTCTCAAGTCAAACAGAAATAAAGTAAACATGGTCCTTTGGCTAGAAGATTTTGGATTCCGATTACATTAGGCAAACAACCCAATTCTGTACAATCTTACATGAAAATCCTCCAAGAAAAGGTCTCATAAAAAATAATAATTTAAAGATTCCTATCTTGTCATAAATTGGGAGAGGTTTGTCTCAATGTATACTGGACCCAAATAACACTGGCCAAAGAGGAGGAAACAACAACTTAGGCTAAAAGGCTAAATTCCATTGACAGCACTGGTTTTGCTTTCCCAGCTTCATTCCAACTTCTTTGGTAAGAGGCCCTACTGTTTTGTCTGGAGGATTATTCTGTTCCCACTGACTGTGGTTTGGGCAGCATGTCAATGAAGAAGCCTTACCTTGCCCTGGCCAAAGGGAAGGGAACAACAGATCAATCTAGACCAATCAAACACACACAATCACTCTCAGGAATTCAACCCTCTCAGAAACTGAGCTCTGTGTTACAAAGGAAGAAAAGTGGTAGAGCTGATTTATGCCAGTGGTAGTAGTTTGCTGAATAGTCAGTCCATCAGTCCTTGCTGCCTCTAGCCTCAGAATTGCCTTTTCCAAGGTCTGGTCCCTTTGTTCTTGTTTCAGTTTGGTTTGTTTTTTTGGTCTATGTGTGACATACATTTATATGCTTCCAATAAATATATCTCTCTGTCTCACTCTTACATTAGCTTAAATACATTGCTTTACTTTTGACCAATTATACTGTTTTCCTGAGAAGCTGGCTTAGTCCAGAATGGGTCTCAAGGAAGTGGGGAGAGATGCTGAGAGCCACAGTCAGTGTCAGAGCTGAGAGCAGTACCAAAGTGAAAAGGCCACGTCAGTCTTGGTTCTGTCAACACTTAAGAGAAAGTTCACTCTGGGAAAAATTCACATTGGGAAGAGAACAAATAGCAGGACCTATACTTTTATACAGGCAATTATGTTGTCATTGTGGGACAATCAATCTTTTCATAATAGGCCAGTGAGGAGCAAGGATGCTGGGAGCAGACCTTTAGCCAGAGGAAGAGACTGGCAGAATTTCAGTGATCCCAGTGGCTATAGTTCAGCACAAAAGACCAAAGGAGGAGGTAAATATGGTCTGTAGTTCAGGGTCATCCTTACTGTCAGGGCTTGCCATGGCACAGTTGACCCTGGATCCAGTTAACAGGACTGATTCCAGACTCTGTTGAGACCAAAGCAGTTAACAGACAGAAATGGCCCAAGGGCTAGCCCAAGTGGCCCAAAGATGCACTTGGTGTGCAGGCCTTCCAGCTGGGGTCACCAGCTGGGGCTGCAGGAAGCACTGTGTAACAGGGTAAAAATGGTATGATAAAAGTGGAGCAAGTCAGCAATAAGCTGTGTCTTGAACTGAAAACGAGTTTAAATATATAACATACCAATATATTCCCCAAGAAACTACCTCTCTGCATTTGAATGTACTCTTCTATGTCCTTCAGTTGTCCTTCCTTTATTCTTTCTTCGATCTTAGATCTAGCTCAAATGCCATCTATATTCTAGGGAGAATTCTTGGCTCTACAAATCATATGATATTTTTACATAATTCTATTTTCAGTTGGGTATTTATTCACCCTACAGGAAAGCAGAAACAATTTCTAACTAATACATGGATTTCTGCACAAATCCATTGCAATGTGAACATTGCAGACATACAGGAAAT